GCAATAAAAAAAAGTTAGTCTTCGTATATCAATGTGAACTTGTAACTGACACTTCACTTGTGAGGAGTATTTAGCATTTAAATTTCATTCACAGTATTAAGAGTTCCTAATTCGAATTTAATGGTATCAACAGACAAGGAAATGGCTCTAACACCCTAATCAATCCTTCCCGAAAAAAACCTCTAATATCAAACGAAATTATGCAAAAAAAAAAAAAATTCTCGACGAGAATGATTATGTTGCAGATTTGACATTTGCCGAAAATGTTACACTCTTAATCGGACATACATATATTGGGATTTCAATAAGAGCATGATGAGTATTTCAACCGATTATTTGTTCGTTTCTGGGATATTGTTGTCCGCAATAGTACTTAAAGTAAGACTATTCATGTAATAAATGGTTGAAATTGAAGTGTGCCACAAAATTGTTGGCCAAAATGAATGGAGTTGTGAACTTTGACAATATCGTTGTTGCCTGCAAGCCACTTTCGGCCTGGTGTGAGTATTGTTTGCAATCATCTACTATATGATGACTGATTCATTTAGCTGAGTCTTTCAAGGGTACGAAATAACATAAATATTCATACATTTTAAATGGCAAAACAAGAAAACCCCAAAAAAGTTTTCGTCTCCATTCCTACGGACGCTTGTTTTCAGACAGATTTGTGATAAAATAAATCTTTGTTTATTCTTATCAAGAAGATATGTTTGGAACTTTAATTGTTTACTAACACCGGTTACAATGGACGATGTTTCTTCTAAACTTTATTTCGTTTCTTCTTATTTATTTATTTGTTTGTTTGTTTTTTTTTTTGGTTGGTGATGAATACGAATGACAAAGAATAAAAAAAAATTTAATGTTTGGAAATCGAGTAAGAAAATAACACACACAAAGGAACAACACGGAGAAGTTGAATGTTATTGAAAAAAGAATGAATAAAAATAAAGGAAAAAAACAAGTTGGAAATGGTCAATTGTTTCTGATAACTGTTTCAGAGGTAACAAAAATTCATTCAAAGAAGGAGATTTATCAAAGCTGAAACGAAACAATTTCGATGCATTTTTTTCTTCTGCTTCAAGTAGAAGTGTTAAGATATTCACACAAATACGAACAAAAAGAAGAGAAAAAAATTATGTAAATTGTTGATGATGGACAAAAAAAAATTGAATTCCAACAAATCCCTCAATGAACGTGCACAAACAAATTAGGTAGAAAAATTAAAAAAGAGGAAGTAGTAGTAGTAGTAGTAGTAGTAATAGTAATTGGCATGAAATAAACCACTCAAGATGTGAATACAAAGAAAAATGAAAATGAGGAGGAAATGTAATCAATGTGTATTGTGGATTGAACTTAACCTCAATAAAACCAAACGAAAAGGAGATAAACCATAATAAAGAATAAGAAAATTAAGGCACTCTTATGAAATTCAACAGAAAAAAATGTTACAAAGTCAGTCCCAATATTATTCACAACTTGACACAATCATTTCAAAAGTCTTTATTCCATTTTTTTTTTGTTTACATAAAAACGTTCGATAATTATTTTGTCAAAAACAATCTATGTCAAAGGCGCTGAGCAGATTTGATATTTTAACTACATACACAAAGAGAGAGAGAGAGAGAGAGAGAGAGGGAGAGGGGGGTGGGGGGGGTGTTGGTAAAAAATGATGGAAAATGACACAGGAGCTATATACGGTACGTAACGCAAGTGCATTCATTTTTGTTGTTGGAATTGTATATTTTCACTCACTTCTACGAAGCGAAGCACCAGTGAGTGCCATCGAGTGAAGAAGAAAAAGAGAAAACAAAATGTAGCGGAAAAACACTTATCGCGCTCGCTCTGCTGCCATATCTGTTTGCTCTCTTTAACTGCATAATTTCACACAAGTCCATTTTGCAGGCAAATTTTTGCACGCTTTAGTTTTTCATCCAATTTTTTTTTTCATTCTCTTCCCACTCATCCTCTTTCCCGTTTACTCTCGTTGTCTCTTTCGCTCGTTGTTTTGAATTAAAACGGTGTATAGCACAAGTGGAAAAATCTGTTAGCAACTTTTTGATTCTGAGCCGTTGAGCTTGGAGCTATTGCTGTGTGCAAAGTGTTGCTGATTGAAGCGTTTGCGATAGAGAATGTGGGAAATATGTTGAGAGTAATGATTGCATTGGCCATCAAAAGTAGATGTAGGAAAAGCGCCGCCAGATTGTGAGATTTTGCTCAAAACGAATGAAAATCTGAACAACAAGTGGGGTGTATGTTTGCATGTTTTGCAAAAATTATGGATGAATTACTCTTTGTAACTTGTTTCATGGACCAATTTAGATAAAAGAGAGAGAGAGAGAGATGTTCTCTCAGAGATGCACGACCGATGGTTATTTTTCCACCGTCTACCCTGTCTACCAACGGTAGACTACCATCCAACGTAATTACAAATTCGGAGAATTGTTTTTGCCAGTGCACAATTTTTCGCTTTAACGCTAATATGTTTGCGGCGGGAATAAAAACTGAACGACGGTCTCAAGTGCAGAATGATTAGGATTCAATATTGTTGGGATATAAATTACAGCTAAAAAGCGGCCAATATATATATATATATATATTTATATTAAGTGTATAAGTTTATATGAATTTTATTTTGAACCTGTATAAACTACAACGGAAAAGGAAAAGGAAAAGGAAAAAAAACAACAACGCCCGTGCAAACGCAAACCATTTCTATGTATTGCAACTGTTCAGTTTCATTTTTAATATCAATGTTTCTAATTTTTATTTGTAGAAATGCCAGCAGTGGTGCTTGTGTGTATGGTCAATTTATTTTGATGCAATTTTTAAAGTTGAAACCAACAAAATGTTGAATGATTGTTTGCTACTTAAGTCACAGAGACAACTTCGCCTTGAAAAATCGAAAAAAATGCATTTGGATAAGAGCATCCAAGTGGCATCGTTGCGATAACGCCCCCCATTCCGATGCTATGTGACCTTGTATGCGCACATCCTGTTGATTGAATGAAATAAACGACCATATCACACTTCAACACATCACATTCAATGATAGCAGCAAATCCGAATGCATTCGCAACACAACGGAGGATGTTTTACTTCCGTTGTATTCGATTCGCAATACATCTATGCTGGCGAATTGAGGGGTTTGTTCTTCTTTTTTCTTTGTCGTTGAATCAAAATAACGTGAAAGAATGAAAGCAGATAAGTGTAATAAGTTCTGACCTCATGTTCCGAATCAGCGTAGTAATCATGATAAATCAATTAATGTTGCTGCTACCACGAGCGCATGCTGTTCTCATGAAATTCAAATAAGGAGGCAATGAAGCGCCGTTACATTCGCTTCATCATAATCAATTGATTTTTTCACAAAATCTTCTCTCTTCCTTTTCTTTTTTTTCGACTTCAGTTGGAAAACCGAGTTCGGCTAAGATTCCCCTGCAACGAAGTAAAAAGTCAAGTTGGGCAGACAGCCGGTGTGTAGTAAAACACTCTTTCAAAAGCTCTCGAAATTTGTGAGTGGTATTTGAATGATGGATTAACTACAATCGATGAACCATTTACCCGAAGCAAAGCACCACGATCAATCCAATAACCATTAAAAATAGACGATTTGTCGATTGATTGCCGAAAAAAGAGAGGCAGAGAGTGTTCTTTTTGTTCGTTTTGTTTGTAAACTGAATTCCGAAACATACACACACAATTAGATAGACAAATTATATCATGCCCAATTATGCGAGATAGAAGGAAAGAGAAAAGGTAAGATCTTAATCTAAAATTTGAAATTTGCAAAAGAAACAGAAGGGAAACGAATAAAGCGTCTAATGACCTTCTGTAGTCAGTGAAGTTTTTCATTCTAACGAATTGATTGGAAACAGATATGGCTAATAATAACATCAAGAATGATGAAGGAACATTAAGACATGTTCAAACCTTTTCTATATTTTTTTCCGTAACTTATTTGCGTCTCTACAAAGAGGAAAAAAATGTTTAGAATCGTAGAAAAAAGAAAAGAATTGACCACTGAGCGAAAAACGCTTTGCCCCTTTGCCATCTCTTATTGAATTCTTTTTCTGAGATAAACCCCTTTCTTTCCAAATCTCAATTAAACAGTACTTTTTCCATCAGCCACCGGTTATAAAATGTTTTTTATGATTTTTCTTTTCTGTTCACCAAACACGTGGAAATCAAATTTCATTGGTGTTGGTGTTCTTTTTGTGTGTACTTAGTGTGAGTGGATATGAGAAAGATATAGAGAGAAAAAAATGAAAGCAAAATACTACGCGGAAAGGGACATGTGGTCAGAGCTTAGATAGATTGAGTTATACAACAACATAAGTGTTCACTAGTTTAAGATTTTAAGTGCCATTAGTAATAAAACAACAAGTCTAACTACGAGAAGCACTAAAGCTAAAAAAAATGTATTATTATTGCAAAAATATATGTTATGATTATTTGTTAAAAGTTTGTTGTAGTTTTTTTTTCTTCTGTTGTAGGTTGTTTTGATATTTATAACGATATAAAAATGAATCATAGCGATTCACAGTGCAGAATTGTGAATTTTCCTACGTAAAATCATCGTCGGGGTATACATTTATAGGGTGTTATATATAGATTGATGTATATATACATATATATGTATAAAAATGAAATATGAACGATTTATTTTGGTTTTTGGAATTTGTTTTCTCTTTTGTTTGTTTGTCGCATTAATTTGTTCTTTTCGTTATCATTAGAAAAATCATTATTATTTCGTCATATTTAATTGTCTTTGATTTAATATTTGTTTATTTAAAAAGAGAATTTAGTTGTGTTTTTTGTTTGTGGTTTAGCCTGCATTTACTAACAAGTTAATAGACACTTTGGTGTTTTTGTTTTGTTGAGTTTTTTTTTTAATTTTTTTTCTTTTAAATTTTGTATTTATTGTATCATGATCGAAAAACGAACCGAAAATGCAAAACTTTTAGACGAACAAAAATAAAATTGATATGATTCAAACTTACCGTCAATACTGTCGGGATGGTCCAGCTGAGTTAATTGCGTATCATTTTCCGTGTTCTCGGATATCGGTAAATTACTGTTATGCGACGACATCAACGTTTCAATTGGCAACGAAGTGGGCTGTAGGTGAGCAACAAGAAAACACACAAAAAAAACGGGAATGAAAACAGGACGAAAGTATTGATATGGACGAATAAATCCGTTTAATTGTGCTTATTCATTGGGAAAGTTTGAAGAAAAAAAACCAACGTTATTAGTTGAAAGTTAGCATTCTTTAAATGCATGCATATGAAATGCGCTCGAAAAATGGTTGGAATTCAAAAGCAGAAGAAAAAAAAATTCAAGTAGAAAATAATTTTATCCAAGTGAGGAATGTATATTTGTCTGTGTTTTCATATTCGCCACTCGATCTCATCCATTGGGTTGGAATGTACCAAGCGATTTATTTCCATTCCCATGGGCATTATTGCCATGACAATCGTGTACTTGTTATACACGGGCAATTCTCGGTTTTTGACGGGGTCAAAAGGAGAAAAAACGTTAGCATACGTAAATAACAGCATATATTTGCAACAAGTGGAAGTTTTTAGAGCGCGAGACCAAAAGATTTTTCAAACCAAACGAAAAAATTGTAAACGCATATTTCAAGCAGAGTGCCTGTTAAATGGTTCTGGAATGCGGAAAACTATGTTGATTGTTTAAAATGCAGCGATGCGGTTTTATTGAGTTGATGGAATTATTTTCAAATTTGAGTATTTAAAGTGTAAACTTACGGGAATAAGTTCCTGTGGCAAATTGGCATGTGTTCCCATTTCCAGTAGTTCCTGCTTAATATTGAGTACCGACTGTTGTTGATTTGCTGGTGAATTGCGACGGCTTTCGTCAGCTTCTTGATTCAGTTTTGGCAAAGGACTTAATTTAAAGCTACTTTGCGAAGATGCCTAAATAAATCGAGTGGAATGGAAAATGAGAAATTTTTATTAGAAAAAACGCTGATGCGTAAATTCCGGCTTTAATTAAATCATCCATTGACGGTCTTTGTTTTTCTTTCATCCGCTTTCATTCGTTTTACCTGAGAGTCCTGAGAGTAATGCCTTTCCTGTATATTAGTATTGTACGTTGATATTAAAGAATTATCACAGTTTGATGAGTTTTTTCGTCTCCGTTTATTACTACTATGGTCTGCGTGAGTGGTCGATGTATCTCTTTCACGATCTTTAAATTCTTTAAAATCCTGTATCGTAATATTATCTTCAATTCGTCTTTCTTTTGGATCTCGATTACTTTCATTATCTGCACCACCGTGTTCGGCATCCGTTTTTCGTTCAAAGAAGCTTTTACCCGAGCTGGTTGTCAATTTTTCTATGGCATCAGTGCGATCTTTGTCAGTCTCCGGACGATAGTTCAGCGCATTGTTATCTGTCAATCCGCGTACCTGTAAGTGCAAGTATGTGTGTGTGTGTGTGTGTGTGTGCGGGAGATACAAAGAAAATGCGAATTATGACACTTTATCAATGTATTGATTATGATGGGATTTTCACTTCATGTACCTCATTAAAATTTATCAGCTTGTTGACGTTAACAATTGTCAAACAAAAACAAGAGAATACAAAAAAAACACATATTACCTAGTGTAGCATAGCACACTAACAAACACATACCTGTAGACTTTCAGCTGTTTTTAAAAATGATGGCAAACAATTCTGTCCGACATTCACTTCACCCTTATACATAAAATCTAACAACGAACGGATTTCTGAGTATCGTATATCCTTTAGGTAGATTATAGGGTGGGCATGATTGTTCTGGAGAAATATTGTTTCAAAATATGGACTGCATGCTGACAAAATTGTTTGATGTGCCTGTAAATATGAGAATGCGATTATATGCGATTATTACATGTGAATCCCGCAATTTTCCACATTTTACATATATGTATATATCAATATATATTGACCGCAACAATAACAACAAAATAGAAATTCAGCATAATAATCAAACAAGAAAAAGTTAAATAGGCGAGAACATTTTCCAAACTTTTCGTTCGCTTAATGGTGATCAGGAAAATGGTGATTGAATAAAGTAACACATAATCAGAGTGAATGGGTTCTTATATACGATTTTATGTATACATCCGCATGTATTTTATTATTTACCTTCACTGTTTTACCATCACAAGCTAGTGTAACATCACAAAGAGCTTCGCGTTGTAACAATGAAGATAGCACCCCAGTCAAGTTTGCGGGATGATTGTTCCAACGTAGACAAAAAAATTGCTGATCCATTGAGGTTTGATTACCGGTATATCTAAAGTAGACAGGGGAAAAGAACATTATTTGTTAAACTCAAATTTAAAAAAGTCATATTGGAAGAACAATGGAGGATGAGCTTTTTTCAATCCGTTTATTGTGTCAAAGTGACTTTTGAAATTTACATAAATTTTGAAACGTTGCCACCCAAAAATAAAGTTCAATTGAAGGAAACACCATTGCAAAATGCATAGGGGATATGACCTGGGACAATATGACCGGTCAACAGGATTTGCTCCATATAGAAGACATGTATGAAATCAGATTTTGAAAATCGAGAACAAGATGAGATCTGGGATTTTGAAATTCTAGATCCGGGGTAAAACCGAAAATCGCCACGTCTTCGTACCATAATGGGCCTCTTCAGCGCGCAACGGATTCGGAAATCAAAATTTTTGTTTTTATTGTACAATTGACGCTCTTAGAGTAATTGTTCATCTTATGAGTTCTTTTTTCTCAAACTGAGACAGAAGAAAGCTTAGAGCAAAAAGAGACAAATAAACACAGGGATAGCACTACACTAACAATAACATTATTTGCAAACTAAAGTGCGTCCAAAAATTGAGCATGCTCGTAGTGCAAAGAGCGCGGTCGTTGATGCACTAACCTCTTGCTCACATTGTCAAACATTGTTTAGTTCCGATTTGAAATGTTAAATTACATTGATGTGCCCTTTGAAATTGGGGGCGCTTGCGTCGCCTCAAATGACTTTGACGTTCAACAGCCGCCACACGAGTGTCAAACATTGCCGTTGAAATGTGTGGCGCTGTTCGTTTGATAGCTACTGGACGAGACTACTGCGCAAATGAAGTTACGAGCAAAAGTATGGAACTCAGCATTGAGCGGAAACGACGTTTTTTTCGCATTTTTCTCGCTACTGAAAATAAATAAACGATTAGATGTCTTTGGCATATTTGATGTTCTATAATAATGCTGAAGACACCTAATTGTTATCTATTTCCAATGGTGAGAAAAATGCGAAAAAACGTCTTTACCACTAAATGCTGGGTTGTGTCACTTTTGCTCGTAACTTTATTCCTCTCTTTTTTGCTTCAAAATTTTTTTTTCCGCCTCAGTTATATAGAAAAAGAAATCATAATTTTAAACGATTGCTCTATGGGTGTCGATTGCAATATTCACGTAGATAACATCTCTGATGAGCAAATCACTTAATTGCCGAAGTTAACAATTTGTCGGAAAAATATGTTACCGCTAAGCAACCAACAAAATCTGCTACTGAGTATTATCTTAACTGCATTCTTACACACAAGATATCAACAAAACGTAAATTCTTAGAATTGTGTACGTTTCTAATAATATTACAAAGTTCACGCTTTCGTAACCAGCTTCGAAAGTTCTCAACCTTCTGAAGCGTCTTGCTTACAGCAATTCAATGAACACTACTTTGCATATGCAAACTTGGGTGTGAAGTTTATCCATGTTTTAAGACAATTTTGTCAAAATAGTGTGCTTCTTTGATGGTATAAACGGGATAACATAGCTGTAAAGTGCACTTTAATACATTGTGATAATTCATTTTTGGGAAATTCTTGTGTTCTTGCTGACACTGATTTTTTTCTTGGAAAATTAATGGAATGAGATTTTTATCACTATAAACCCAATGTGATTCCCTCGATTGACACACGAGCTATATTCATGTTTCGGCATTACTTTAATTTTAGCTCAAAATGATCATAGCAAAAATATCATGAAACAATTCGTGGTTCCATGAATTATTTAAAAAAAAAAAAAAAATAAAAATATGTCTAAAATAAATTAGTTCAACCACAAAATTTTGTGGGTAATCTCGTTGGTTCGATGTTTAATTGTACACTTTCACGAAGTTCCAAATTGATCAACGAGTACAAATTATTTTATATTAAATACACGAAAATTTATTGTTTACCCACTATAAGGTGAGCAGGAAGGGTGTATTTGGCTAGGGTTTGATGAGCAATAACAACTTTGTAACAAATCAAATAGATGAAGAATATGAATCATTATGATGATAATTATATTTCCGCGACCTAGCCAAAATTGAGAGAAACTATCGACAAGTATTTTTCGCCCAAAAAGTCACAACATAACACACACAAAAATGCTTCTCTATCAATATAATGGCAAGCATTGCATTCATCCTCGGGGCCCAGATTCGTGGTCGCATTTCCCATGAAGCAACATTTTCTAAACAAATTTGTCGTTTCAGTTAGGTTTTGTATATCATTGAAAACTGATATTGTCGACAAATAGCATAGTTTTTGAAGTGACTGTGGTTTTACCATGGAATGTACGCCATCGTACAACACCAACAAAAAGTCAAGCCTAATCAACAAACAGGAGCATCATCATCATCATCATCATCATCATCATCAACGACAATTTTACTGTGCCGTTTTGTGTATGGGGTGAAAAATAAGATCGTTGACGGGATGTTTGCAAAATATTTCTGCTTCACGATGGATTATTATTCGAACAAATAAACGTCTGGTTTTACAAATTGATAACATTTCCCGTGCATATCCTCTTCTATTTATTTACATAATTTTAATTAGATTTTATTCGACATCGAGAGAAAGAGAGTGAGGTAGAGAGTGATAAATAGAGCATGTATACCAAAACAAAAATGGGCATGATGGAGAGTGTAAATACAAAAGAGTTTGTCATCCACAGAGTATATATATATGGCACTTGTAGAATTGCAAGTGAATTCATAATATACATATTGTGTGAATGCGAAGCGGTTGAATTGAGCCTTGAGTATTTGATGATCTTTGAAATCATAAAATTGACATCAACGACAGGTGCGCTGGTTTGTTCGACTAATCAAAACCAAATCCAAAATCAAAGTAATCATCTCCCTGATAATTTTCGGTTCAATGATAGCACCTGTTTTTATTATGATTGTAATTACTAAAACCATGAAATCAAAATACAGCAAAATTTTATCGTCATCATTTTGGAATCGATATCTAACTATGGATAGATATGCTCGTGTCGACGAACAAACATTCCGGACGTGTTGCTGCGGTAAAATTATTACATCTAGCTGGATGTAAAACGGAACCGTTTGCTGGTTTTGCGGAAAAAGCATAGAGCATTGCAAAAAGAAAACGTAAACGAAAAAATCAGTAGCCAAGCATACGTATATGTCCATTATAAACAACACCGATGCAACGATTCCAACCATTCCTAACAGTGATTACGTTTGCTGTGGTTGCTATCTTATTTTCATCATTATTATCCATATCGCTTTTTTCTATATTCGTTTATCACACGTTGCCTTGTGCTTATTTGACTGCGAAATATGCATAAAAGTGGTTAAACTTCTTTCAATACGATCAGTCTTCGACAATCGTTATATTTAATTTCATGATATGGTTTTTCGTTGCTGTTGCTCATTTTATTATTCTCTTCATTTCATTCGAACGTTTAATATATGTAATTGTACGTACAGAATATTGATCTATCGGTTGATCCACGGAAGAAAAAAAAAACAGGAGGAGGAGAAGAAGAATAAGAATAAAACAACAAATGTATTTTGGTTTGACAATCGTGATTAAACACACAATAACAGTATCAAATAACGCCGTATGGCCAACAATTTCTCCTCTCTCACTCTTTCTCTAACTTGCAAAAGAGCAAGAGAGAACGAGAGACTAAATACCGATTTTCTATTTAAACAATTTATACGAGCTAAAAATGTACAGTTGCTTGGACTAGCTCGTTTCAGGTACATCTTTGTGAACACATGATGGGCAACCCGTTATATTCCAAATTAAACAATGTCAGGTTTAGCCGCTCGCTAGTCACTCTTTCTTCTTTTTCTTCTTCTCCTTCCATATGAAACATGTGTGTGTGTGTGTGCACGGATCGAAGTGAAGTAAGTACCTTGCGTAATTTTACTGTACTCTGGCTGTTGGCTCTTTGGCTCATTCTTTTGCACAATTCAAAATGTGCATTCGAAACGCGAACTGTGCGAGTGTGTATATTTATATACCGATTTGGGTCAACACCATGTAACTTGTCAGTTATGGTAGTGGTAAAAACGAGTTAATCCGTTAAAATAAAATTGAATATCGTTATCATAGATTGAAAGTGCTGTTACAAAAGGTTCTGTTCTATCTATTCTCTAGATTTTTCTCTCTCCCTCTCTCTCTTGCTCTGTTGGTACATCGGTTTCGGTGGAGTGTGCCAGCGATCAGTAGCGAAAGCGTGCCTACCGTTTATCAGAAATGAAGAAAACCATGCATACAATGTACAAAACTCGCATTGAACAAAATATTCCAATAATTAGACGACAATGGACATCACAAATAATCGGTCGGTAGATTGTTTGCAAACAGTTAAGTCATTTCAGTCGTTAATCTCATGCATATTCCCCCCGATTTTGGTCAACATTTAACAGCACCATAAATTTTCCCCTTGCGCTAACATTCACAAAGTTCAACAAGATAACAACAACAGCTGCGATAGCAACAATAACAACAACAACAACAAAATCAACAACAAATTTTACTTTGGCCAAAAGCAATTTGGACGGTTTGTCGTCGAGAGGCGACGTAGATGAAATCAAATGCTGTAAAGAATTTAAAATTGAAATGCCAAATGTTAATTGGCATTCCAAATCGTTCGAACTACACAAAATTGACTTGAATTTGATGGTATGTATATGTGTGGTGTTTGTTGTGTGGTCACATCATTCAATACATAAAATCACAAAGATCACTAAAGCTAAAGGGGAAGCATTTAGCATTTCCTTTGATCCACTATTGTTAGTCGAATAAAATGTTCGAAAATCGCGACGCTTGAGAAATTAATTACTCTTTAATTCGTTGTCGTGTGTCTTTTTTCTCGGTTTTCGTTACATCGTGAGCGTATCGTTTTTTTTTTTTTGGTTGTTCATTCAACAACTATTCGATACAAGGAGAGCAATTATTTCAGCGAGAAAGAAAGAGAGAAGCGCGAAAAAAACGAACGAACGAATAATACAATAAAATC